TTAGACTATAAATTAATGTGTCAAGTAAGATGAAAGGATCTTCAGTTGCAGAGAATTTGGAAGATCCAACACAAAGATGACAAATCAGGCTTTCTATTGGCTGACGCACCTTGGGCAAACCAGGCTCTCTGGGCTTCAGATCCACATTACAATGGTGACTTCAAATCTGATGGATCTCAATGTTTAATTTTCTTTTGGTAATAGTTTTATTGAAATAAAATTTACGACTCACTCTTCACCCATCGAAAGTGTACAATCTCATGGTTTTGAGAATATTCAGATTTGTGCAACCATCACAATAAAACATTTTCATCACTCCCCAAAAATTCTGCCAAGGTCAGTCTGTAAGTATGTTCATTTTATGCCATTACTAAGCAGCCATTTAATAACGTATAAAACCTGTAAGATACAATTTTATTTCTCAAAGGATAACAATATCTAGCACTCACCTTGTTAAGCCTAGATTTACATCGTACTTTCAGCAAGGTATAACCTTTAGGATTCTGAGACTCTCACTTAGATATCAATTACTCAGACTTTAGCCTTGAAGGGTGCTTTCCTGTCCAGAGCCTGAACAAAACTGCATCAAAATGAAGGCAGTTTGGACTCCTTCTAGGTGTTAGATTTCACAGTCGACACTGGCTGCTGGGAGATTAGTGAGATAGTGGTAGTGTGGGTAACAGTGGGGAATGTATGTTGTCTGCACGAGCCTGCATTTCTCCGTGTATGTTTTGCCTTCACTTGTTTGATTTTTTGTTGGTTTGCCCTTCCTGCTCTCCATGAAGTGTGACCTTCATGAATGCAGGGGATTCACATATTCTTTGGCCATGGATGTACTGTAAGTACACAGAACAGTGCCTTGCAGGTAGTCACTGCTCGAATGTTTGGGGAACTGTGTTGAATCCGGTTTCATGCTATCTGGTTCCCTCCAAAAACTCCAAAACAGGTTATTAGGAGGAGCTTATCCTAGTAAGGTCATAAAGTTACCGAAACTGAAGATGACAAGAACCCCATGAGGTGTAAGAAAGCCTTAAGAACCACAGAACCCTCTTGAACTTGCAACAAGACTAAAATTACTAGACGCTCAGAACCCACGTGGTTAGCTAATGATAGGGAGTCTAGACTAGAAAGAACATCAGACTATCAGAAATCATTGCTCTGCTCCCAGGGGTACAACTGTTAACCATTTTTCCACTACCCCTTTTCTAACCTGATCCTTCTTCCTTGCTTGGTCCTTGGTCAGTCTTTATTGGCTCAGAATCTCCTGGTATTTCAGCCAGAGAATGTTCTGCAACAGAGAAAAAGGGAGAATGGTCTCAAAGTCATAGCAATTACCCAAGCCAAGGACGAGAGCATCTCATTTTGAACTTGTACATTTCAGTCACAGTTTTGCTGTGTGGCCTTGGGTAAGTCACATAATGAGGTAGCAGGTTATAGCTATTAAATGTCAGGAGTCATCCTCAACACCTGGGAGTTCAGACCTAGTTAGACCTACTCACGAGACGCCTGTGAGTTACCCAAGTAGAGATGCCTTCAACTCACGAGGCCCAACACTGACTACGCTTCTGATAGACTTGTTGGAAAAGATCTCTCCCAGTGTTTCCTGGGACGAGATCAGGGGACCCCATCCACCCAGTTTCTTATGCCAGAAACTTGGGTATCAGCCTCGATACCAGGTTCTCTCTGCATTTAGTTCTTAAGACCTGTTCTGTCTGCTTCTGAAACATCTCCCAGCCCATTTCTGCTTCTTTCACTAACTGCCGTCACCACTGTATTCCAGGCCACCCTTATGTCCCTCATGGGACACTAGGATGGCCCCCAAGTAATTTCCCCACATCTATCCATGACTCCCTCTGGGTCACTCAACACTTTAGCAATAGTGCTGAAATATGGATTTGATTATTTTTACCCCCACCCCTGTAAAACTACTAATTGCTTACACTCGCTATTACGATTACCTTCAAGGTGTCGGGCGTGGTCCGTACCTCCATCTTCACCCGCTGCCCATTCTCCACGGTCTGGCCAAACCCTTCCTAAAGGCTTCACAGTGCCTTATGCTGCCTTACGCTTGGAATCTTCTACTCCATAGTGCCCAGTTAGCTTGGCAAGTTAAACATTTTTTTTGTCCAAGCCTAAAGCTTACTTCTAGGAAGTGATTCTGGGCTTCACTTCCCTCTAGTCTGGCATAGGAATGTCCCTTACATTTTTTCTCTACATTCATTTTTAAAATTCTCCATTTTAAGTCTCCAGCATTTGACACATGAGCATTTAAATACATGCTAAATACGTGTTAAAAAAGAATCTCATCTTTGTCACTTATTAGCTCATGGACTTGGTCAATATCCACAGTTTTGGCTTTTCCCCTGGGGAGCCTGTTTCATTGGGTGAGTTTGACAACCAGGGGCAGGGCACGCGAGAATCTCAGTGTAGTGCCAACTCAGTAAACGTCAGATAGCACTGTAATTTTTATACCCTCATTTCCCGTGAATACCACCAACACGTCTTCCACACAGGGAATTTCCAAGGTTTGGAAGAAATAGCCCTTCAAGTCCTCTGTAGCTGAAGCTGCAAGCTTCATCCGAATGGCTGGTGTGCAGGTGTGTAACACCTGTGGCCTGAAGGGCCGACTTGCTGCTCAATCATTGGAAGCTTTAAATTTTCAGGCTATAGCTGAAGAGACTTTCTCCTGATAGAGAACTTTAA